TCGTGATAAAAATCAACTGTCAAATTCTAAGATTATAGGTGGCGAAATAAATCTAAAAACAAAAATAATGAAACCAAGGATATTTAGTGGCCATGTTTACAGTGAAGCTGTGGATAAACTCACAACACGAGCTTATCGAAAGCGATCGATTATTAAAAATCTCACACGCATGATTCTGAAAATAAAATATTATATTAAACCGATTCAATAATCTTCATTTCGGGGATACTAACTAGAATGTTGATAAAATATGTATACAATCTATGAATCATTGAGCCGAGGTCGTAATAAATTACGTTCACCTACAACCTTAATTTCAAACGCTGAGTACTTTAAACAAATATTATGCAAACGGTCAATGGATTTTTTCTCTCTCTCCACGTTATCGTGACGAACAAACCTGACTTATAATCTACGTCGGAAATCAGTTCAAGAAAAATTCTTCGGATTATAAAGTCTTGTATCACGTAATATTATTAGTAAGAGTGAGAATTCAAATAATTCGTAACGGACAATTCGTAAACCGGGATGCAAGTATCGTTAGGTATTAGATAAATAACTTTATACATTTTCACAGGACATATACCAACTCGTTAGGTTTTCAATGTTCCAATGCATCAACCACGCATCGAAGATCACCAGTTAGTCCAATACGGATTTGCCAGACAATATTTTTAAAAGCAAACACTGTAATTATTAGAGTTAGGATGTTGATGACTTTTGCATTTTTTTCCCTTTGATTCTAAACAATGCTATCCTAAGTAAAAATTTGTTTCATGTTCCCTTGATGAAGAATATTATAATTCAATTTTGCATTTTTTTTTTTTTGCATTTTTAGCTATAAATGCATTTTTTTGTTTTTTAACATTTTTAAGTCATCTTTTCATCTTTTAGATCATTTTTTATAGTATTTGTGCAATGGTGATATTTTTCTTAAGTTTTAGATTTTAGAGCAAGTGTTAAACCCAAGTTTGCAAACAAATTTAATTTATTGTTGTGATTAAATTTATCGCGTTTTAATATAATTTTGTATAATGTAAAATATATTATTAACATTTTTATTATTAAAAAATTATTAAAATTATTATTATTGTAATATATATATTTATTAAAATTATAATTTCTAATTCATATTTTAAATTACTATTACATCTATTATCACACCCATATCTTTAATAAAAATTATTATTTATAAATACATAATTTTCACTTACTTAATTAGTTTTTAGATAGTTTTTAAGTTTTTAGGGCATTTTTGTGTGTTTCTTAGGTCATCAACATCCTAACTCTAGTAATTATCAAACGGTTAGCGTATAGCCACATAGTGTCATAATAACACAAAATTACCTACACAGCAGATGGTATTAAATATACATGGCTATATATTATATACTAGATGCACACGCAAGAAAATTGACCGTTATGTTGTAATTTTAATACTGGATGTTTAATATCGTGACAAAATCATTTAAGAATGTATTAACAAGAACGCCGGTCTGAGAAAATAATTAAAACTAATATTATTATTTAATTGAAAAATAATATTAGTAATCGTATTTTTATTATTGCATATTTTGTGTTTTACACCACATAATTTTATATTTTATAGTTTACAGCAGTCGTAGAAATATTTCAATCATACCTATAAACCTATGATATTATGACTAATGAACAACAAAGAATAATAATATGATACGATATTGTTCTTATTTTCCTGTCTGGGAATTCGCATGGGGGTTATTAGATACTTTATCTAGGTGAAGCACGTTCATCATATTGGTTATTTTATAACGAGCTTGAAAAAAAAAACTATTCGTTAAATAATAATTGTTATTACTCATTCAGATTATTAAAATAGTAAAGTAACGATCAACGCATTATTATTTATTTATGATTTATTTGCAACGTGCATTATAAATTGCTGCCATACCAAAAATATTTACATTTTAACACTGTCTTACAATAATGCGTAATAATGTTATTACAAACGCCGACGATGATAATAACAATAATTGGATTTGTTTTAACTTTAAACGATAAATGGCGAAATAAGTAAAAACCGCGTAATCGAATAATTTGTTTACGTAATAAATAACTAACTATTGTTTCTTGGAGATATATTATTAAAAAAAAAATAATATTATCCGGTTACCGTAGTATACGAGAAACAATGTCTGCGGTGCACACGTCGTCACGATATGATACGTTCTTAGAACTCGGGGTTAGTTGATTAATTGGATCGGCGATGATGTTACAAACATCGTTTGTGTTATTGCGAATAATTCGAGCTCTAACATTTCTAATGTTAATACTTTTTATTTTTTTTTTCTAATATGAGCCAGTGGCGTCAGGGGTACTAGATTCCTATTATTTCCCTGACGCCACCATCCTAAGGCTAATGCCATGGCATATGTCTCACATCACTGGCCTACTTGTCCTTTCTATAGAGAGGGCGTTGACTACACCATGTCGCAAGCGATCATGGTACGCGTCTAGCCCTCTCTCTCACCCGGTCGTCATCCTCCTTCTGGAGAATGATGGTCTCCACCATCGCCACGAAGGCATGACGGTGGCGCAAGGCGCTTGCTAGTATGCGGCAAGTTGGGCAGCGTCCTCGGGGAGAAAACTAGGTTCAGGTCCACAAAGTAGGCCCCTAACGTCCAGCTCTCCCACCTCCGCTCTCGCCTCGTTCCACCTCTCACACGCGAATAGTGTGTGAACTGCCGTGTCCTCCGGGCTGCGGCAGTACACACACCCCGGGGAGGGAGTTCTTTCCCGACACCATAGATAGTCCTGGAAACAACCGTGGCCGGTGAGCGCTTGGAACAGCGCGTAGGTCATGGTGACCACCGCGCCGACCCAACGCCCCACGTCCGGCAGCAGCGTCCAGATCCATTGCGCTTTGGGGGTGCTATCTCACCGCCGCTGCCAATCCGCGATCGTGACCGCCCTCTCTCTGGCTCTTATACCGGAGAGAGGCGCTTCCAGATCCGTCGCCCTAGCTCGGGAGATCCGGCAGCGCTCCTCCGCCAGCATGTCAGCCAGAGGCGACCGTGCGAGGAGCAGTACCGCCTCGTCCGACACTGTGCGGTAAGCCCGGATCATGCGCAGGGCGATTCGGCGCTGCGCTCGAACAAGGACGGCACGGTTTTTTGTCGTGCTCGTCGCTTGCTCAGCCCATATCGGTGCCGCGTACAATATTTTGGAGAGGACTACACTTGTCAGTAGAGTCCTCTTCGACTGTGACGAGCCTCCGATATTGGGCATGAGCCGCCCGAGTGTCCAACGTTTATACTATGGTTGTTTAAAATTACCGCGGTATATACAATGATATTGATTAGTTAAAACGGTGATTTCTGTGTATTTATATTACAACGAATGTGCACTTTAAGTACAGGTTTTATTTTTCAGACAAGACTTTTTGCGCGGGCATGTGTTTTCCCCACCTCCTCGTAGATGAACAACACTTTATCGTGGGGTTGTTTTCCACGCACAGAATTTATTTTTGTAACGACTAATGTATATTATATAGTATAGTATATAGGGGAACATCGAAAGACTATCGGCGAGTACACTCTTATGAGTGCTTTACAATAATATAAATGGTTTTTTTTTTATTTCAACGCCGATGACATATATTTATACGCCACGATGTGATAACGACAAAGTATTGCTCTATAGGGTGCAACGTTAAATCGATTATTTTTGCTTTAAGTACGATTATCACCGTAGAAAAATAATGTATCATATATGTTGCAGCAAGAGCTATTTTTCAAACACCTACCAGGATAATGTTTTAACGACTCTTATCGAACGTTTTTTAAAAATAAAACGTTTTAAAAGCTACGCAAAGAGTTCTACCATAATGCTATACTATTTACGACAGTCGATTACGACTGCAGTGGTTAATAATCTTTAAGACGCGAAGAGTAGAATCCGAAAACAGTCTCTATATTAAACTGGATGTGTGGAAGTCCATCGATGTTGTTTGAGTCTTGGGCCACTATTTAGTTTAAGATATTATTTGAAATCAAATGAAGTGCGGAATCTTCGGATATGCGGATATATATATACGTGCATTTTTAGAAAGTCCTAATTTCCCCCGAAAATTAAATCCCATGGTCGAGCCGTGACGGGAAAGTAAATTTTAACGAGACCAAAGTGCTCAACATAAGATACATATATCGACGGTCGGGAGGCCACTTTCAATTGAAGTGGGGGGCACTTTCGTGCCGACATTATGAATTTAATTGGATACAATAACGATGTAAATAAGCGATATTATTGAATGTATATTATAAATTCAGGTTTGCGGTAAAGTAGCCCACACAAAGTTTTTTCATTTTACCCTACTTGAAATTCATTTCTTACCATAAGTATAATACGAATACGTATATAAGTTTTGAACGAATCTCACGACCATTTGAGGTTTTTAATGCGACGTTTTATTTCTGAGATCATTAGCTTTTTCACCACAATAGTATTGTCGTCAGTAGCACATTTGAGAGGGGGCGGGCCAATCATTTGCCTATCGCGTTACAAAAAAAAAAAAAAAACATAATGACTGCGAAATAAGAATTAAAAATCAAAAACTCAAAATCAAGCTTTGTGACAAGTATGCGTACTTCATAAGGTACGAAGCGGGCCGTGGATGCGCGCAACAGGTTGTCGTAAAGATGGGAATAGAAATCCGTTCTATATGTATATTGTTCAATATTTTCTAACTACAGTAACTCCCTCTCTCCAACACAAGTCTAGCTTAAGCGAGGGAGGTTAATCGAATTCAGTATTGGCTATTTTTTTGAAAAATATCGGATCGCCTTTGAAATTCTACTCGGCGATTCGAAATCAAAGTAATCGTAGTCGGTCCGACCGCGTAGGCATATATTTGCTCGATGCGACCGTTGCTTGAACATAAACGTGCACGGAAACAATAACAACTGGTAAAAATCTTGTAACAGACACATTAGTTATACGTATCGCAATGTTGTAGTACTCACGTGACTGGGGTTGATGATGGACTCGATCGCTGTCGACGGCCTGGTCGGTCCGATTAGGCGAGGGAGGCGGCGGCTGATGGCCAGCGGTCGCCAGGGGCGATGGAAGGGACCGGTGGAACAACGTGTCTACGGCAGCGGTGGTCGCGTTCCCGTCGTCCACGGCGGCCGCTTCGACCGCTTGGTCACGGTGGACCATGCGGACATCATGGCCTATGACGGCGGTGGCGGCGGTATGCTGCTGCTGCTGGACGTGGTCGACGGTCACGTTCACGTCGGCGAACGCGGCCGCGCGGGAGCGCATCAGCGACAGCGACGTGATCACGGCGGCCAGACAACAGATCGCCGGTAGGTAACAACAGCCGCAGCCGGTCAGTTTGCAGCCGGCCGTGGTCGTACGCGCGGTGCTGCCTGTCGCGCCAACGCACCGCCACCAACACCGAACGATCAGAACAGCACCGGACCCGTAGCGATGATGATGGCCGTGCACCAGCGGTGGTCGTCGCCCGCGGCCAACGGATCGCGGCCGTTGCCCTCGTGTTGTCACCGCTCGCTGACGGTCGACGTCGATTGTGCTGGTACTCGGTGCTGCCGCGCATCCGTCACCCGCAGCCCGCGGCGCGGCACAACTTTTTCCGCACCCGCATCATGTCGCGAGCGATAGGCGCAGCGGCAGCACTTGCTCACGATCCGGTGACCCGGCAATGTTGTACGATCCGCACCCTGAAACACCATTGTCACGCGGTTGCATTACGACTTGTGGCCCAGAACCGCGTTCAACAGAGAGGCAAGCGGTGGAAAAGCCACCAGCGTGCCGCTGCGTGTCACGAGACGATAAGAATCAAGAGTACAAGTCCCTACACACAATATGATCCGGTCGGGCCGACAGGATGATTTGGTCGAACGGGTATCGTATCATGTTGTGCGATTTAACAATGATCCTGTCGGTTTCATCCGACATTCCGACCACCCGACCAAATCACATAGCGTGTAACACACTCGAGAGGATTTTGCTTATCAGTCGGCTCTTTGGCGTTGCTTATTGTAGTTATTTGTGTTTGTGGTTACGAAACCGTAGTTATACGAAAGCGAACTGTCATGCAGTCGCAGAGAACTACTGCACTAGTGGAAATAAAATTCATCAGATCAAGAAGAGTAGTGTGTATACAACGTTTGATTTGGTCAGGCCATCTGTCAGACCGACCAAATCATATTGTGTGTAGGGGACTTGTGCTGTAACCATTATAAACCGTTTGCGTTGTTCCTGTACGTTTCTTTCCTCGAAAATAATCAGGTACAATTGTATGGTTTCATTTAATCTCGGCAGTCAGTGCATTGCACCGTTAGGCGTGTAAACATCTTTTCGGAGTGTCAATTTTTTTTTGACGTTTAAAATATTATTTTTCTTAAGGGCGGTATATTTTAATTCGTCCCGAGGCGGTAACGTAGCTAAACAGCTTGTACCATGCGCAGTTAATTGGTCCGGGACGGCCGCAAATCGTCCGGTGATGGGGGGGGGGGTCGGATTTCATTGTCTGCGCGCGTATTTCAAATGTTTTTTTGCACCGCGCGCAACGTTTACCAACACCGGCGTACAAGCATGACGAGCTCGCAGGATCGGATCCTGGTTAGGGGTTGAAAAGTTTATATCTGCCACCGAGTAGTAATTTCGCCTTAAAGTCGAACGCGGGAGGGCCTCTGAGGATTACGAAATATTGGGGGGGAGAGAATCGTGTTAGAGTAGATTCCACCCGGTAATAGACCAGGAATGGATCCAGAAATTTTTCACGGGGAGGCGCATAATCATATATATATATAAATACAAACAGGATATATGTATGGGATGAGTTGTAGCTCTAGGAACGAAGTTAAACTTTTAACAGTTAAAGGAATATAATCCCTTATTACAGCTTTTAAATTATGGTATTAACGGTTAATAGTACATGTTATTTTTGTAATAAAAAGTCAAGTTTTTGTTGTTTTTTCATTAGAGAATCTGTTAATTATTTTTGTCGTGTTATCATCACCGTCAATATTTATATCCTTATGCATACTTAAGGCATACATAAGACCCAACCCTTTCAATCTTTTTTCTCCCGTTCTTGCCCTTCACCAAGTTTAAAGCAGCCTGAAAGAGGAAAAACTTCTTTCTACGGTTGCGATAGAAATTGACAATCGAACTATAACTTTAAGAAATTACGTATGTATTGAATAGTAATTTTGATATAAATGATTTAACGTCTTGCGAGCAAAATTTATATTTTTTAACTTATAATTTACCGATAAAAAAACTATTGTTTTCTTCACGGAAATAATAGACGACGTGTAACGCGCAACGATCAACGATTTCCTACATTAACGAAGATAACGTTTCAATTGTTATTGATTACAGTGCACCATATTATATTATCGACTGATACAAGACATAACAAGATAAACAAGTTACAACGCAACTATTTGTGTGCGATTTGTATGTACGAGAAATTATAACCGATTCTGTACGATGTAAATTATTCACATTATTCCATTGGTAGACGGAAAATGTAGAACTATTAAATGGTCAATAGAAAATAATCGAATAGTATTTTTTTCCCACGTGTTAAACATATTTTTTATGAGATTCGAGGATAGGGACGCGCTCCCTTTTCTCTCCCCTCGGATCCGCGCCTGTAATGGACATCACCTTTTCCGACATTTAACGTACACACATCACGAAAAAACATTGTGTACTCGAATGTACGCTATCAATTTGATGTTTTTCACATTGCACGTTTTCATAGGACGGTCGACATCGACCCTTTGTTATGACGCAATATTATTATTGTACGGTCCTGAGAACTCGAACTGTACCATCTAAAGCAAAAATCGTCCTGGGAATACGCGCTTAACGAGATAGCATGAAGTGACAGCATAAACTCAAAGGGACGATGTTTATTTTTCTATCCGTTGGCTCCGGGCGGGAGTGTTCAAACGGCTTTATATCAAATGCGCTAAAAATCGCAGGTAAAGAAAGAAAAGTTATGTGATGGAAAAAAGTTATACATCTATCTAATCGATATTCGAGTTAGTATATTATATACGGTTACCTCATTAATACATATATTGATGAAAATGCAACTTTTTCCCTGTATCTTTGGTCATCGTGTAACATATCAGACAAAAGAACAACAAATGCATGTGAGGCATTTCACTCAGAATTTGGGAAATATTTTTATTCACCCCATTCAGATATTTTTGTTTTTTATGAAGTTTTAAAAATAATGTAACGCAACAATCATAATACGTGTTCTCTTAGTTATCACAAATAGACCAAACTCAAAATTTATGACAAAAAAATAAATAGTAAAATAGACAGAACTAATTTTAATATTAGACCTAAGAACTTTTAAAAATATTTAGGATTAATATAAATATATATATACTATTAGTGTAAATACCAAGTATGTAGAATGATAAGTTTGATTTTAATTTTAATTTTTGTTTTTAGCCATTATGATTTTTACTTGTACTGTATAGTTGTTATACCGGCGAAATAGATGTATACCTTTTAAATATACCCTTTTTATACCGGCGCAATAGATGTATACAGGTAGTGTCCCAAATTCGGCGCAATTGACGAATACCGGTTCAAACGTTTTCACGATAATTCACGGCAACTGTAATGGATCCGATCCGTACATAAAAGCGACGGCCGATGTTCTAACAACGATAACGATATGTATCTCCAAAAGTACGTGACAAAATATATTATGATTTAAAAGTAATAAACGTTTATAATAACATTGATGGAGCCGGTGAAATATTGTCAAAAGCGTTTCTCTAAACGAAAGTGATAATCAACCGTGATTAAATTCTGGGGCATATACAAACCATAGTAAAAATTCTGTGGCTTATTTTGCCTGAAAATTTAGTGAATGGGTCTTCCCTTATCTCCTAAATATTTTTTTATTATAAGACTACGGTGTTTTTTCTTTGAACATGACTTGTTTTTTCGTTTTGAAACATTTTTAATTTAACTATCCTACTTAAGTTTGAAGTCGATTTTCAATAAACTAGAAAAACATTAGTTTTTAATTAAATTTAAAAAATGCTTATAAACAACACATAATTTACATTATGAATTTAATTTTTAAAATTCATAAAGAATAATGATTATAATCTATATGTATCTTTGTATTAATCTTAGTATAATACATTTTCTAGTTATTGTGTATGTAAATGTGTTATGCACTATTGTATAAAGGGCTTAGTCCCGTCAAATATTAATAAATAAAATGAAATAAAATTATTTTTGGCTTTCTTCTCATTCCTAAATTGAGAATACATCTTTCCAAGATAATCCATTTTCACCATAGTACAAAATAATGATGGATTTCAGGAAACTCTTTATCGATTTAATACACATTTAAATTAAATATTAAATAAATAAAATTGAAAATGTATTACTCGTTTCGCTCGAAATCTATCTGATGTCGTTTGTACAGATTACAACGAGGTAAGAATGAAAACAAAATGTATTCCAAGACTGTTAGCATCATAATGAATTTAACATAGCCAATTTTCCAAAACTGTTTACATCCTCTAGTACACTTATGTATTCCGCTATGAACTTTAAGAGCGGCGAAAACGCCGCAATCATATTATTCACCCCTACGACTTACGATATGTTACAGATTGTTGTAATTATTATTAGTTTATATATTGTATGTGTATTGTCTCGTGACTCTTGAACGATTGTCGTACACACAGGCACATACATAATATCGTTAGGACTCGTTAAAGTTTATCAGCACCGAGACGTAGTGTTTTTACGGTGTTATTTTTAGGATCTATATGTGCTTAGCGTTGCAACATTTACGTTATAACAGCGTTACTAATTTTGATGAAATTTTATATGGCGTGCAATAACCTCATTGAGCAGAATGTAATTGAGAAAGCAGAATAACATTTCAGTGTTTACATCGTTTGAAACGGTATAAATATACGTTTAAAATATAACGCGCACAATCCTTATAGTACACTACCAGAGTCAATATTAATAATATGGATTCTGTTCATAACGTTGAAACTTAAAAAAATTAGTTTTTTTTTTATTAAATATACTTTTAAAACCATTAAAAACGTAATTTTATCAAAACACTGACATTCCTTAATAAATCAAACGAAAATCAATATTTATTATTTCTTTGTTGCGTGCGAAGAAAATTTCGAGGTATGTTTTGATTTAACTCATTTTATAAGTCCAGTGTATATATATATATATATATATACATATATATATATGTGTGTGTGTGTGTGTGTGTGTATGTACGTGTTACAGTAAAGAATAATATACACTATTAATGGATCGAGGATATTTTTTCCGAAATTATAATGGCATTTATTGTAAAATATTGCATTTAAAGTTAATAACCAAATAGTTCACGATGCAAAATATAATTTTATTGGTATAAAAATGAAAAATTATGAATTTCACCTGCATCATATTTAAACCAAAAGAACTTCATATTTAAAAGCGTTGTTAAAATATGAAAAAAAAAAGTTCAATATTTACTCTAATCCATTGCGTTTGAGTGATTTAATCCATATAATGAAATAGGTTAATATATAAAATAAAAGTTAAGTACATGTATCGTTATAGGCATAAAACAAATGCATAATATTAATTACGAATTAGATATCACCGTACAAGTAGCAAATATAAGGCCATAATTATGTTATAC